CATAAACAAATATTATTCCATAAAATATACCATACACATAAACCAATCCCCCATGGGGTTTGGTAGAACAAGCAATGGATAAAACCGAGGACCAAAAGCTTACATGTATCGGTAAAGTCCTCTAAAAGCAACTCAGTATCACGTGATCACCAACATCCAAACAATCCAGCTAGTCACAATCTGGTTTAATGGCAAATACATCATCAATAATCATATTTTACAATTTCATGTCAAATTGAACATGTTTTCTTTTTCGTTTAGCGTACTGCAGGCTTCTCCTAAAGCCCCCAAGCACAAACTGTCTTTACCATTTTTACAACTGTAGTTGCAAATCTTTACCAAATATTCTAAGATTTTAATATGTTAAACTAGACATCTCAAGCTTTTCAACGATATATTTTATATCTCAATTGGAGTTGTATAACTCCGGTTATGATTTTCGCAAAGTGACTGCTGCAAACTGAATTTCCCGCAACCAAGACGCGACTTTAAACTAACACCGAGATTAAACCACTAACCCAATGGCTACTAAATTTTATAGAGTTGTAGCCCTATGTGTTAGATTCACATAGGTCTAAACCTTACTCAATTTGAAGCTCTGTAGTTTGAGATATCGCGATTTACTAAACTAGATCGTTGCTGTCTCGTGGAGTATTCGATTACTGCATTTTTCCAGAAAGTATTCGAACACTGCCCGAGAAGTATTCGAATACTTGTTCGATAGAATGCAGAAAACTGAGTTTTTAAGGTATAATTGACCTTCAATGATCTCCCAAACTTGTTTAATCATTTAATTAACATACCAACACGTTTTAAACAACAAAATAACTTCGAGATTCGGCCTTTAACCTAAATCATGCTTTCTATCATAAAGAACAAAGGAAATGTCATTCTTTTTACATGAACACAAGAGGAATGTTTGATATATACCTAGGGCTGACCAGAATAGCAAAATGAGGGAACTTGGATGGCTTTGAAGTTGCTCCAACCCACTGACCAAAGGGTGCACGAAAATCCAAGGAGAAAGCTTGGTTCTTTCCCCTCCAAGATGGCACCTTGATGCTCCAAGAAGTGAAGGAACTACTCATAATTAAGAAGGAATGGTGGCAACCTTCACACTCACCAAACAGAATTTAAACACCTCGTAAAACATGTTTTTCTTCTACAAGACCTAAGCTTTAGTGGGTTGAGAATGATTTCATGGGATAGAGGTGGATAAAGATGGAGACTTGATGTGGTTTAGTGAGAAAATAGCAAGCTTTCATGGAAACAAGGCTAAGGCACTATAGAGGAACTCCCATGGCAGCCACACAACACTACTAGGCAGCTGACATATGTTAGAAAATACCACAGGATTTAGTGTCATTTAGCTATTTATAGGTTCATTAACTTAAGTTAATAGTATTGGTTCTAATAGCTCTGTTAATCATTTTTCTACCAATCTTAATATTATGAACCTAGCCATTTTTCTAGAAATTATCATATTTTTCCTATAATTTTTTCGCAATACTTTATCGGTACGCATTTTATACATAGCCGGTATTAGTTCGGACATCTCCGCTCATTATATTTACTCCAAACTTGATATCCTAGACCTATATATTTTTCTAGGAATATTTATATTTTTATTATAATTTTTTGGAATACTTCACCGATACGCATTTATACCGCGAAGCAAAACCGGTATCTGCATTTTTCATCAGAGAAGCGACTTTAAGCATTATTTGACTTTCTAATAATTATCTTATCATAATTATGCATAATATTTATCAAATCCATGCTCCGACATCGATAATGTTATTTTATTAATTATTTAGCGATGCCGATTCTTACACTCTACACAAAATGGCGATTCTTGAGCATGGTGGGTGACTATGTACTGTGGGATCACCTGAGTGGGAGAGTGGTCTGCACAAGATGGAAGTCCCTGAGTGTGGTAAGTGTCCACATACGGCGGTAATTCCTGAGTAGGAGTGTTTCACACAAGATGGTAGTCCCTGAGTATGGTAGGTGACCACACACAGTGGGAAGACCTGAGTAAGGTGTGCTGAGTAGGTTGCAGATGTGTGTAATGCCTACATTGTTCTCTGGCCAGTAGGATTATATATACACATGCATAATATATATATATATATATATATATATATATATATATATATGAGGTAGGATCCTTTGACACCAGTGTCAAATTTGAAATTTGACACCTCATCTGAGAGCCATTAAATAAAAAAAGATCAATGTCTCTTATTTGTAAGCACGTGACACCACCATTGATCTTTTTTGATCTAATGACACTCTGATGAGGTGTCAAATTTCAAGTTTGACACTGGTGTCAAAGGATCCTACTTTTATATATATATATATATATAGGGAAAAACATTTCTTTGGCAACTTGAGATAAGTTTATCTCTGACCACCCCAAAACTACGTCGTTTTGTTTATTTGTTTCTTTATATTAATTGATTCACCTTTGAATGGTTATGATTCCTTTTTCTCTCTCTTCCTTTATCACCGTTGATCCATCTTTGTACGGTTATGATTTAGTAGCCGAAGATAAAATTATCTCAAGCAGCTTGAGAAATGATAATCCCATATATATATATATATATATATATATATATATATATATATATATATGACTTGGCATCATACTGTTGACATATTATTTTTATACTGTTATACCTGAAGTGTGCTTGGGCAGAGTAATCCTTTGAGAACCACAGCTTAGTGAGATTTGTCAAAATCTCACCCCATGTGGAGAATATTTTGCAGGTGTTGATATTCATGATGTTGGAGCATCTTGAGGCAAGAGGCCGGAGTAGAGTTGATGACATGATATGCATGCATTGTGATTATGAGATTTTTTTTATGCTGAGGCATGCTTATACTGACAATATTTATTATGTGAATTTGATGTGAGCATAGGAGTTATCTATGCCACTATTCAATAATCTTGTTCTTATGTTTTGGAGGATACGTATTTGTATGCACCATGATATATGGATGTTGTCATGACTACTTGTTGTAGGCTATGTTGCACCGACACTGACACGGGACACGAAATACGACACGACACTCCGACACGTTAATTCTCAAAATATTAAATTTTGACACATTAGGACACGTTTTAATATTATATAATATTTGTTTTAATATTATATAATATTTTTAATTTATGTAGTGTATATTATATTTAGTATTCAATAATTTAACAAAAAAAATAAAGCTAAACTTATTATACTCATCAATTTTGCAAAGAAACATAAGATACCCCAAATATTTATATTAAACTCAATAAAATCGTAATCGTAATCTAATGAATCTAATAGTTGGAACTCAAAATGCAATGCAACGTAACTTTTGAACCTTTTTTGAGTTTTTGCAACGAGTATTGGAGTGTCGGGAAGTGTCGGAGTGTCGGTGAGTGTCGGTGAGTGTCGGACACGACACGTCAAGATTTTTGGAGTGTCGGTGCTTCGTAAGTTGTAGGTCTATGGCTTGTTATTATTATTTAATTGAGACAGGACATGTATGCATCTTCTTATATGCGATTACGTCGTTATTGCAATATGTTACGTTAGCACATAAGTTAATAAGGATAAGCATGCAAAAGTTAAGTCACTTAAATGAATTAAGGACTAACAGTAATATGCTTAAATTAGCTTACATATTTAATTAAGCTGCGCTTTGTACCATTGTATGTTTAATATATCAGGTGCACATGGGTGTTACACATTCCATCATCTCTCCCGAGTCCAACCCCATCAAGGAGGTATAAGAAATTTGTGAATTAATGTTAAAAGTGGATCTCGCGAATCAACGACCATAACAAATTCGTAAAAAAGTGAGACAAAATAAGATCATCATCTTCAAGATTTTATGCACGTTGAGATGATACAGAGCAAATGTCAAATAAAAAATTATTATACTATGGATGTTTCTTTATAGATATAAAAACATAACCGATAAAAACAACACCACCGATTATCCAAATGCTTTCGTAAAATGTAGTCTTTTTTCAATTACAGAATATATTAATAGGAAGAAAAAAATAAAGCACATTTGGGGAGGGATAAAAAGTTGGCTATTATACATAGTCTCGACCCGAGCTTTGTTTCTTTTTTTAAATTGAACAATAAATTATTTTTAAGATCTTCCTTCATTTTCTGGCTCATGATGCAGATCCAACTTACTTAAGACTCCCCCCCCTTCTTTTGTTTGAATATGAAGCAAACGTAGAGTTCCCCCTCCCAAAAAAAGGTCAACCGGGTTTCGTTTAACCGATCGAGTAAATGAGACTCAACCGAGTCAACCGATCTAAATCGAGTCAAGTGCATGACCGATCCAAATAGTCACTCGAATCGATGCCCTCACCGAGACCCGAGTCGATCCGAGTTTTAAAACACTAGTTAGGACTTTAGATATCCGTCGATATTTAAGAAAAAATTCAGAATTGATATTCTTTTATATAAATTACATTTATGCATTGTTTGTCAAGATTTTTATAAGAACATCAAACTGAACCTCATATAGTTAAATTTTTTAACTTTTTAAATAAGCTCATATGATTTGCTGAAAGAAATAAAATTTTCACAATAACGATAGACTTAATTCTTTTTTCTATATAATTAAATCATATGACTTATCAGTAATATAAAACTCTCAAATAAAAAATAACATAAAATTCAGATAAAAGTCTTATAACAAATATCGTTCTAGTAAAAAAAACAAATATAATCTTCACACGAAATTTCAATATGAAATGAAAGTTTAATGAGGAAACTTATAAAAATAATGTGTTGTTTCCCAGCATACGAAACCGAGTATTATGATGATACGTGGCAATTCCCACGTAACGGTAATTTGAATTGACAATCATAGCCTTCGATTTATGTTGTTTTCGTATACAAATGTGTCAGGTTTTTTAGTCATTAGAACTTGACACGCCAGCAACAACAAAGAACAACTTCAATGTTTATCGTTCGCAAACAACACAATCACTTTTGTTTTGTTTTGTAGTCACTGTTTCGTTATCCTCAACTTCCTTCTTATTCATCGTCTCTATCACTCCTCAATCACCCCTCAATCACCATACAAGCTTTCCCTTTTCTCCTTTCATCGGGTAAGCGTGTTTCCTATTCTCCTTTCTCTCTTTTCCAATTACTGTTATTTTTTATTTTTATAATTCCAATTTGTCTACTTTCATTTTTGCCTTCAATCTGGGGAAAAAAGAAGAAGGAAAAAACGAAAGGGGATTGTGAGTTTTTTTTCGTTTCTGCTCAAGTTTCTTTTACACGTGTGTGTGTGTGTGTATAATTAATTTATGATCTGTGTTTTTATGGAGATTGATTGGAATAATTCGTTGAAGGGGTTGATGTTAAATCCATTTTATTGCCTTGCCGAATTTTCAGCCACTCCTATCTATAACCAATTCTGGGTCCTATAGCATTTTTTTTCTTTTTTGTTTTTTTATTATTAATTTTAGTGATTCTATTGCAATTTCCGTTCAGTTTGTATCAGCTTGCCAGTGGATATTTATCTAAAGCACTTGAACAAGTAGATTATTTATTAGGAAAGCTATTTGCTTGAGATAATAAAAATTTATAACAAATTTTTTGTATATTTATACAGCCCATTAATGGGAAAAGAATAATAAATATTGATTCATTTGCATCCTAATACAAGCTATAATTAGATGTAAGAATTACACAGGTGTAAGTTAATTCTTCTTTGTGCATATATATTTGATGCGCATCTGTTGAGATTGGCAAATTAATGAAATAAAGTAAGAAGCCTGTAAAATATTTTCTTTTTCTTTTTTTCTTTTTGGTAGATAACCTGGAGGTATCCCCACATAACCTCCTCCAGCCACCTTGTCCTTGGAGTACGGCTTCTAAGGCTAGCTCCTCATTGGAAGAGAGAGTACATTAGATCACTGTCACTAGAGGAAGGGTGAGACTAATCTCCCTTAGAGGGGGAGGCGGTTTCCATTTGGCCCCCAAAGAATTCCATGAATTTGCTTTGGCCGAGGTTTAAACACCTGGTCAAAGCAAACCCTTGGGCACTCAGTTGCCAACTAAGCTACCTTTAGGGTTTTATTCTTTTCCTTAACCTACTGTGTTTCTGTAATTAAACCATAAGTCAGCCTTTATGTTCATAATACTAAAGCCTCCTCTTCCTAACTGTTTGCACTCCTTAGAGCAGAAGTGATTAATCATTAATTTTAGCCTGTACACACTATCTACTTTCTTTTGTCCGAGAATTATTTGTTTTAAGACTTTATTTGATTCACTGTCAATGTGAAAAACTTTTTTCTACCAGCATTGCAGTAATTTAAGTTTCTTTGACTTGCTGTGAAAGAGCTTTCTGTTATTTATTGATGATTGTCACTCTATTTTCTTGGCATCTTAATTTGGTGCATCTGGATTTTATTTCATTTTTCCCACTTGTACAAGGATATTTTTAATTAAGTTATTTCTTCTTGAAAAGGGTGCTTATTTTACTCAAACTCTTGGCAGCAATTAGCAGCAGCAACACTGCCAAGTCCAGTTCCCTTCTGGTGTTCCTTTCTTCTCTTTGAAGTCCTGCTGAAAAGAAGTTCCATCCGTCACTTTCTAGATTTTCTGTCAAGTATTGTTGCTTCTTCAATCTCCCAAACTCAACCACATATTGCTGTATCAACAAGCCCTCCATGAACTTGTTGAACAGACTTGGGTTTGGTAGCCCAAGGACAGCAGAGAATATGGATTCATCAATTGCTCAGGGACCAGATGATGACATGCCTGCAACAGGTCAACAGTTTGCTCAGTTTGGTGCTGGTTGCTTTTGGAGTGTTGAGCTAGCCTTTCAGAGGGTTTCTGGGGTGACCAAGACTGAGGTTGGTTATAGCCAGGGTTTTATGCATAATCCAAGCTATGAGGATGTGTGTTCAGGGGCCACAAACCACTCAGAGGTTGTCAGGGTCCAATATGATCCCAAAGAATGTAGCTATGAGTCTCTGCTTGATGCGTTTTGGGCTAGACATGATCCAACTACACTGAATCGGCAGGTATATATATATAAAGCTTTTTATTTGTGTTATAAACCTTATCATGTTTGATTGAATTGTTCCTCCTGGTTTGTAATTAATACCAGGTTCTTACTGTTTCAACTGTGATGTGGTTCCACACGCTTGTCTGAATTTTAAGTTTGGACTTGTGGATAATCAATTTAGATGGTTTTGGTTTCTCAGGGCATTTTTAGGATTGTTCAGCGAAGAGTTAATCATTTTGTAATACTTTTTGCTTCTTGATTGAATTGTCTAAGGTGATATTGCTTCTTTCTTTATAGCTTTTACTGGATGCTTCTATGTTTGAACATCCAGTGATGTCATGTCTTGCGAATCCCGTTTCAATATGTTCTCCTAATATATTGGGTCAAATCAAATTGTTGGGGAATCTCTTGATGTTTGTTTCTTTCATTACTAATTTTTAAGCTGTTTGTCCCCTTCACCATGCACATGGAGGGATATTTCTACCCTGAAGTTTTGGCCTATATTCTTACCACTTGTACATACTATTGCACTATACATCTGTTACTTCACAGGTTATTACAAGAATGCTCATCCTGATGCATTTTGGGAGTTCATTGCAAATGCTATCTTTTGCTTTTGTGTTTAGATTGTGGTAAAGAACTAGTTGCTAAACTAGATCATGCTCAATATAGATAAACTTCACAAACAAGTATGGCCATGCCTTTTCCTTCTTTTATTTATTTATTTATTTTTATACCAACTGTGATTTTGCCTTATAAAGAAAAGAAGCTTTTAATTGTTCATTTGTTGGGCAATTTACTAATACTTATTTAAACTTCGAGTATGTTAGGGGCCTTAAGTATACCTATTGAACATCTAGAATAACCAGTTTGATATGGAATCATCCATTTCTTTTGTTACATTTTTGTCTTCTCCTTTGTCTCTTCTCTCCTCAGACCCCCTCCCCTTTCTCTCTTTAATTACACCACTTTTGCTTGGTCCCGCTGTGATTCAAATATGAACTTATAGAATATATGTTAGACATGGAATGGATCCTCTGATGTCACATAACCTCATGTGAGATGATCTCAGTTATCCAAAAACAAATTAATGGTTATCCTTTCTCTCGTCCCTATTGATTTATCTATAGAAGTTTGGGATCATCTCTCATAAGGTCATGTGACATGACATGAGAGGATCCATTCTCATGATGACAACCTGTGATCCGCAAGTGTCAATGCAGCTGCGCATGGCTCTTACATCGTGTGGCTTATTAAGAGTTTGTTCTTCCTATGTGACAGGGGAATGATGTGGGAACACAATACAGGTCTGGAATATACTATTACACACCTGAACAAAAGAAGGCAGCTCAAGAGTCTTTGGAACTACAACAGGAGAAGTTGAACAGGAAGGTTGTTACTGAGATTCTTCCTGCTAAGAAGTTTTATAGGGCAGAAGAATACCATCAACAGTACCTTGAGAAAGGGGGTCGATTTGGTTACAAGCAATCTGCTTCTAAGGGATGCAATGATCCAATTCGATGCTATGGTTAGATTATTTGTTAAATGGGAATTACCACCATGGACCTAAATGACCAGTTTAGATGTTGAAAGCGGATAGTTTTGTTGGCAAGTATTTGTTAATATATCAATAATGTCACTCTCTACCCACACTCTCTATTGTATTTGTATGTTGAAGATTACCATAAAATCAGTTCGAGTTATATAGTGTTTTATGTATGTTTAGTTTCGTAGTGTCTTTATAGAACCTCCAATTAGTAGCGCTTAATGAAAACTTAAAAGAGGTTTTTTTTGAACAGATTAGTCGATATTATGTGTATAAATTAAATTAATAAACAATTATCATTATTTAATAAATTGATTTTAAGACTAACATGAATAAAATTTAAGTGGAATCAATTATATCTAACTAATTATGTATTTTATAGAGTTTTTAGTTTGTTCCTAAAAGTAGTGGTTTTACATTTAATTTCTTTTTATCAATGTCAATTCAATATAATTTATGTAGCAGCTTAAGTAGGGAATTTTTCATTACTCAACATGCAGTAGTGTTGAATCAGCACTTTCACAACTTTATAACTGTTATGACCCGTATAATGGGCCCATTAAGTGGTAAGTCTAACAAGGGGCAATCCAAGATATGGATTGATGTTAATCAATTATCTTAATCTTAAATGTGGCAGCATAGCTATCCACACTACCTACAGGTAACCTCTATAAATACAAAGGCAAACCCTAAAGGTACATTCATTCTCTTTCTTATTGTTATGCTGTCACTGTGCACACACACCCCATTGGCTAACGCCGTTATAGTATTCTGTGCAGATCTCCTTGACTCAAGGGTATCTCCCCCATAGATACCTTAGAGAGGACATCAGATCCAATATTAACGTACTAGCCTAGCTGGGCTAGACATCTCTGTCTCAAGGACAGAACAATAACTATGTTTTTATTTTCAATACATTCTATAGTGTTACAGCCTGATTATTACTTAAACAATATATTCATTGGTTAATTATACACTTTTTCAGTTTTACTGCATCACTATTAGTTTTTCTTTTTAGAAAACTTTAGCTGGCAAAATATGATATTCACAAACACTGCGTCAAGCATTAGGTGTAAATGGAGCAGTAGCACAGCTGCTAGCTTGACTGCATTGGGTAGAATTGGCTGCATAATTGACTTTGGTTGCAGTTGATCCTTGCATAATCTGTGGGCCAGTTGAAGGAGAAGATTTTTAATGGACCGGGACCATGGTGGTCCCTTCCAAAATATGAAAAAAAGAGGGACGGAAGGGAAAATAATAAAAAAAAAAAGGATAAAAATGAAAGAAAATTTTTCATTTATAATAAAGGGACCACCGTATAAATAATGAGCCTGGAGCATATTAAATTTTTTCGAGTTGAAGGCATTCAGCACAAGTGACAACGACACCATTCTTTGACACCTTTGTTTTGGATTTGGGCTCATGTAAAGCTTCTTCCTAGCTTTCTTGGGTTTCCTTGTTGGCTATCTTGTTGTATTTTGGTGCTGAGACACTGGTGTGATTCACCCCTGTATAAATTACTTTTGTTATCTGAAATGATGATTACGTTGAATAAGAAACCTATGGTTGTTATGTACCTGCATGAAATATTAATTATTAATTATTTCATTAAGATATCTTTTCTTCTAAAGTAATAGTTAGAAAAATTTTCGTCCTATTACAATATTGAGGACTCAATGCTTCACCCACTTAAACGTCAACATATATATACAGAATTAATTGCATTTTCATGAGAACTTTTATTATTTCTGATGCCACGTAAGTTAAATCTTTTCTTTGTGTTATAATTTAGGTAGATGTAGCACTTAATCTTTAAAAATATTTTCCCTTCATCCGATTCAATTTTATAATTTTTTTTATAGAAAATCTCTTTTTTTTAAGAAAATCTGCATATTAAAAGTTTGAAACCTGTTATTAGTAATTACTACACAAATATAATATAATATAATATAATATAATATAATATAATATAATAGAGAAAAATATTTGTTATTTTAAATGATACAAAATTATATCATTTTAAGTAAAACAACAACTTTTATTTCAAAAAATATTTTTTTTTTCTTTCTTCATCTTCATGTCCCCCAAAATGAACTAATTAAGTACTTTATCTCCTTATGGCATAATATGATCCCCACTTCTTTCATGAGGTTTTTCGTATTGTAAATAGGTTTGTCAGATGTCTTGTTATAGGATATTTTTTTTGTCATGCAACATGTTTATAATTATATATTCTGGGAAGTATATAATTATAGGAAAATACATGCATAATGTAACATGATAGAAAACAAATTTTCTACTAATAGATAAGTGTGCAAATATTTCTTTTGTTTCATTTTTCTTTTATGGTAAGGCCCACTCAAATTTGTTTGTGCAGAAAAAAAATTCATTATCTTGGTACATGACATATATATTTTCCATAATTATAATATTAAAGTTGTTTCTTTTTAAATGGGTTGGAGGATAAAAATCACATTCCTACCACATAAATTTATATTTTCCATTGTAAATTGTAAGGGTTTTATAAGAGTTATGTTATAGGAAAAGTGATTGTGTAATGTTATACAGATTTGTTTTGCGTGCCATAATTTTCATTTTTTTTCTTCAAAAAGTGTGGGCCCCACAAAATGTTGTCTGTGTAGGAAAGTTTGTTGTGTCATGTTGAATGACAAATGCAAACCCCAAATTGTAATCCAACTCTTAATAAGTTTAGGTTCTGCTAAAAAAAATAAAAAAAGAAGAAGAAAAATAGATTATGAGGTGTTTCTTTTTTATTAGATGTCAAATATTATATCTCGTGTCGAGCGAAAAAGGTATACGCTGCTTGTGAGAATTAAAATATTAATTCCTTCAAAGGAATTTGCCCAAAAATATTATCAAAATCATTATCATGACATGAAACAAAGACTCCTCTTCAATGGTCTATGTGAATTCCTAAGCTCTACCCCTGTTCTTGCAAGGGTTGGAAATGACTCCATCTCTAGCTTTGAAATCAAACAAACCGGTATTCTGAACAAAGAATGGGTTGCAGAAGTAGAAAAAAAAAGAGAGACAACTTTTCTATCAAATTCTCAGCTGCGTATAAAAATAATGAGAAGTTTAAAAGATAGAGAACCACATATTACAGAAAGAGAGGAAGGGAAGGATTGATTTTACTTTGGTAAAACTCGGTGAAACATAATAGGGTTTTATAATTTTTATGTAATATGAGAAGGAAAATTTCTTACATACTCTTCAATTTTTGTGTTGACAAGAGTCTCACATGTGATTTTTTTTAACACATGAGTCCTGTATGGTTTTTTTTGTTTCTTCATAAGAATTTTTTTATCATATAACATAAAAATTATAAAACCCAACATAATATTAGTAAACTTCAAAAACAAAATACATAAAGAGTAAGGGAGAAAGTCATAAAGAGAAACACAGAAAAAGATCGAACACCTTACGATTGTTGTCGGCACCAATATGATTTATAGTTCATTAATTAAACTACAAAAGGTAATAAAATTAAGAAGATGAAGATCCATATGTCTTCACTCCAGCAGCTTCCATATTACAATCGTAGAACTTTATCACGGAATTTTAGAAACTTAGTGGGACACCATTCGTTTTCATTGTAAATGGTAAGAAGTTTAAAAACCCTTACCATAATATCAAAACTTGTGGAAAGAAGATTGTATTGAAGAAAATTTATAAATTTCTTACCATAATATTACCTAAATAATAAAATAAGATTGATATAACAATCAATAAATAAAATATGTCTTAGGGAAATGTTATATTTATAATCTATTTTTCCTTAAAATCTCTTACAACTACTTTTTTGGTTGTTAGATAAAAATCAAATCAACAACTCTCATTTAATGTCAAGTTGTAATCGTTAATTTGGTTTTGATCCAATAACTATAAAAATAATTATAAGGGGAAAAAATGTTTTAAGTTTAACCTCCCTGTTTGTTTTAATATGATATTACTTATGAACTTTTGTAAAATATGTATTATGAAAACTTAAAAAAGCAAAATTATTTCACACAAATATAAATTACATTCTCAATTTTAGTTGCTAATTACAGTTGCATCTAACAATTCATGTGTTAATTTCTTACCATAATATCACCTAAAAAAATTAAGTAAGATTGATATAACTAACAATAAATAAAGAAAAATAGTTTACACCAATATAAGTTACATTCCTACTCTTAATTATCAATCACACTTGCATCTAACAATTCATGTGATTAATAAATTAGGATCATTAGATACATATGGATCAATAATAACTCGAATATATTTTAGATCATTCTCGAGAGGCCCAATACAAAGAGCTCAATTCCCCTAACATCTACCCACCTACTGTAATCTTCTCTCTAAGCAAACCAAGATCATAATCTGGAGAACAAGATCAATACATTAGTTGCATTACATTGACATCTCGCAAGGATACTCAATTAGCAGCAAATTAAAGAAGACTGACACAAGCACCTCAATGAGCTAAAGAGGTTGGCACTGTCTTTACAGATCAACTGCGGGAAGACACGAACTACTCCCAACAAACCTACGACCCTTATCTCACTAATAGGCATTCAGAAAGCAATACTGATATGAACCAAGGACAGAAGATTGAAGCTGAGAATAGTGAGGCAGAGAAGAAAAAAGGTGGAAGAGAGGAAGTGCAACACGTAATACTAAGAAGGGGAAACAGAGTCAAGACAAAATCAAGCAAATTAATTGAAAGATTACCGGTACCCAAACGTGGCTAGGAACGAATATGGCATTTGAACCTGAGTTGAGCCCAATACAGCACGTGGCCCATTTATTAGATTCTAGCATTTCCAATTCGATTATTAAGAGGCTGAGGACGCTTTTAGGATCAGCCTTCAATTTGAAATAACAAACTTCTTTTCTCTCTCTAAAACTTCTGGAGTTGACGGCATCCTTAAATTGTCGCCGGTACAATTTTCAGTATTGTGTTTTTCTTTCCAGTGAATTAATATACAGAATTATAGAAACTTGTGATGTCTATCACTTTGGTGCTTTCATTGAGAGGTAAACATCCGAACATCGGGATGGCGAAGGGAACTCGAAGTCAAGCGAAGATGAAAGAATGTTTGAGCAAACTGGCGAATCATAAAGAACAGTTTAATGCTCTGGGTAGTCTGT